AATCACTGGCAGCCAGAGTGAGACTTACTGGATTGGAACAACTGTACATGATGATCAAGCAAAGTACTGTAGGGCATGAGAGAGGCTTACCAAAACCAATCAGAATTTGGGATTCAGTATTTACTGCTCAGTCAATTCAAGCCAGTAAGCTGAATTATCAGAAAACTTACAGGCCCATATCTAAATTTCAGAAAGAGATGTGAGCCTGAAAATTCATATCTTAAGAGCACTGTTGTATGCAGTTTGTGACAGAGAAGAAACATAGAAACAGAGCGAGTCAGAAGGGGCTTCCCGGGCCATCTAGTCTGACCCCTGGCTCCAGCCGGCTCTGCTCACGACATGCCCACCATGTGCATGTCCAGCCTATCTTTGAACACCCTCACTGGTGGGGCTCAACCACCTCCCCTCGCAGCCCATTCCATACCCTTGGGGTCCTAACTGACAAGAAGTACTTCCTGGCATCTAAATGGAACCTTGGTTCCCTGAGCTTTGCTCCGTTGGAGCGCATCCTGCCTTCCTCTGCAGGGGAGAACAGGTCTTTACCCACCTCCGTGTGACATCCCCTCACATACCTATATGTTGCCAACAGATCCCCTCTGAGTCTCCTCTTCTCCAGGCTGAAAAGACCCAGTTCCCTCAGTCTTGCCTCATACGACATCCCCTGCAAACCGGCCACCAACCTTGTGGCCCTACGCTGCACTGGCTAAATCCTTCCTGTAATGAGGGGCCCAAAACTGAGCACAATACTCCAGTTGCAGGCACACTAGAGTAGTATAGAGTGGTAGTAATACCTCTCTCAACCTAGAAGTCACTTCTGGCTATGCAACCAAGGGTGGCGTTCGCCCTCTTGACCACCGCATCACACTGCTGACTCTTGTTTAGCCTGCAGTCAACCAGCACCCCGAGGTCCCTTTCACAAGTGCTGCTCTCCAGCCACTTGTCCCCTAACCTGTACGTATGGCACCCATTCCTGTGCCCCAAGTGCAAGACTTTGCACTTATCCGCATGGAACGCCATCCTGTTATCCTTGGTCCTTCCATAGTCTGTCCAGATCCTTTTGCCCTTTACATCCCAGCATTGTCCAGAAAGCCGTTTAGCTCCCAGCATTCCCTAGACAGCATGGCAAGGGAATGCTGGGAGATGTGGGACCTCTTTTTCTATTGAAACAGGCATAAGATAGCACCCTAAGTGGATGTAACTATTAATTCCAGTAAAACAAATGTACATGTTGACATTGTTTAGCTGTGGGTTTCCGGGGAAGGGAGCTTCATTCAAGAACAGAGCGCTGGTTTTCCATGCAGGGGGCCTTTTGGAGTGAGACCTCCCCGTCAGACTGGCCAACATTGTGCAAATCGGCTTTGTACATTTGCCTGTTTGATCCCATTCTTATCAAATGTCTTAGGATTTTAAGCTGACGTTCTCAAGCAGCCCTGAGAAACATCTGGAACTCCAGATGTTCTTGGTTTTCAGCCCCATTATCCCTGGCTTTTGGCCTTGCTTGCTGCTGGGCCTGCTGGGAGTTGTAGTCCAACAGAATCCAGGGCACTGTTTTCCCCACCAGTGTTCTAAGGCTCCATTTCTGTTTCTCATTAATGATGTTATCAGACATTAAACAAAAGTTCATGATTCATTTCATTCTCCTTGTACCCCAAAATAATACTCATTGGCCCACTAACTTTGTTTGCTTTTATAAGTAGGGATTTTTAAGGGATTATTGATTTTTTTTCTTTAGTTCATTTCATTTTTATTTTTTTGATGAGCCAATTACTCTGGACAGTGACCTTGCAGTTTTCACACAACATCCTGGAATGAATCTTATAACCATCTTTCTGAGCATAATGGATACACTGGCACTATTTTAACTACCTCTGGTTATACAGGCACAATTGCACAAATACAATAAATATTGAGAAGGGGGGAAATGTCACTACTGGATTTGCTTCAAATGCAATGTATGATTTCTGGAGATACCCCGAGTAAGTGGGCATTGATCCATGAGGAACCAGCAATAACCTGAGTGTCACTGCATCCTTTAATATACATAAGATCTACAAACCACAAATATTCATAAAATCTACTAAGCTGAAGTTCATCAAATGGAACAATATCAGATCATGATCTAATATTCTAGAATGACATTTGCTGATTTAAATCCAAAAGGGTTGTGGCCGTTTCCCATTTTATCTTGAAAACTACCCCGTGAGTTGAGTGCGGCTGAGAGTTGGTGGGTGCTTTGTGAACTGCATCTCTGTGTTGAGCCCGGGTCCCCCAAGACTAAGGACAACACTCTAAACTCTACACAGGTTATATATAATTCTAGGCAGAGTTAATTAATGCAGAGTGAATGAAGTCAGTTTCCAGAAACTGAATCCAGAGTATTCATTAACGAAGTTCCTATACTCACAGAAGTCTCCTTGGAATGATGTTTTGGAAGATTAGGTGACACACTCTGCAACATAGAGGCAATGTGGTACAGTGGTTAGATGCTGAACTGGGACTTGGGAATCCAAAGTTTTACCCCTCACTCAGCCATGGAGCTCAACGGGTGACCAGGCCACTCACAGACTCTCAGCCTAACTTACCTCACAGGGTTGTTGTAAGAGGCAGGAGGTGAAGGATGATGTGTTCCAAGCGGGAAAAATGGTAGAGTATGAATACAAATAGATGAATAGATAAATAAACAAGGGATGGGGTGCAGGGGAAGTAAAGCTCAGCAATCTCTCTGCCCGCACACTTCTCCTTTACAGGCACTTCCTCCAAATAAGAATCCCTTCCTCATCTGGCATGGATGGATTCAACCAGAACAATTTAGCTTTCTGTTCACTTGCAGCTTCCGACCCTTTCAGTTTTTTCAGTAACTTTGGCTTTCGTCAACTTATAATCTGCAGTTTTGGGTTTCTGCATCTGTTTGACAGTTGCTATGCAAGCCCCCCACCAATTCCCCCCACCTTCTGTGCAGGAAGACTAGCTGGGGATGATGGGAATTACAGTTCAATTCTGGAGGGCACCAGGTTGTGTTGTGTTGTATGCATGTATGTATGTATGTGTGTGTGTATTTATTTGCAATGCCCCCAACAACTGAAGCTGCCTGGGCAATTCAAAACATCATATTTTTAAAACGATATAAAATATATCATTAAAACATGGTAAAAGTTAGCGATTCAACATGTTAAACCTAATAAAGAGAGCCAGTGTGGTGTAGTAGTTAAGAGCATGGGACTGGGACTCAGGTGATCCAGGTTCGAGTCCCTGCTCAGCCATGGAGCCAACTGGGTGACTTTGGGCCAGTCGCAGACTCTCAGCCCAACCTACCTCACAGGGTTGTTGTTGTGGGGATAAGATGGAGGAGGAGAATGCTGTAAGCTGCCTTGAGCCCTTGTAGGAAAAAGGCAGGATATAAATCGAAACATAAATAAAATAAAAATAAATAAAAAGAGCAAAACAAAATTGCACATTTAGATAAGAGCCTGTTCAACCCTGCCTAGCAACCAGCAGGTCCCAGTAACTAACCAAAGGCCTGCAGTAGAGGATGCTCTTTTCCTAGCATCAAGGTGACAGTGAAGGTGGTGCAAGGAGGGCCTCAGTGGGAAGCTTGTTCCAGAACTGTGGGGCCACCCCTGAAAAGACCCTTCTCCTTGTTGCCGCCATGCAGAACTCCCTCAGAGGTGGCGACTGGGGAAGGCTCCAGAATGTGATTGCAGTGTCTGGGCAGACGGAAGTTGGGGAAGCTATAAGGAGCTGCCTTCTAGGACACAGTCCAGTGGCCCATGGAGCTGAACTCAACCTAGGAGGGGCTTCCCATTTTGATCCCGATTGTGGGGCTTCCTGTCAAACCACCTGTCCAGAACCAAAGAAATAAGCTGCAACTTCAGAATGTCTTTGAGCTCTCCAAACTACCAGTGGAAGATGTTCTGGGTTTCCTCTTGCCGAGCGTGCACCTTCAAATGTCCAATATTTACCAGGATTTGGTCTTGAGAATGTGATATTTCATGAGCACAGCAAGTTTATGAAGACAGACTTGAAGTGTGCAAAGCCATGTTCTTTTGTCAGTCTGGCTGATTAGTTAAACTGGCTTGATTGGAGTTTTCATGCAATAGTTTCAGTTATCACCAGCTACCCATTCACCAGACGTTTTTACCACATGGCTGCTTGTTGCACTGATTCATTTCTTGAAATCAGTGGCAAGGAGCGTCCCTAGGAAGAAATCTGTCTTGCAGGAACGGTTAAATCTGTCTTGCATGGTGTTAAATGCAAGAACAATTAGTTCTAGAACGGCTAGATGGAACCACATGGCACTAAAAGACCCGTGTCTGAAAGCCACAGTTTGGGACTTCAGAGCTGGCAAAAACACTAATACCGTAAAGCAGCTGAACCCCATAACCCAAGCAAGAACGTACGCAGCAACCACTGGAAAAAGACAAAAGGACAGGAGATTTTCAGGAGAAAAGTCACCAGGAGAGACCTTCAAAAACGGATGTGTTTCTGTGCATGGAGCTTTTTTTTACGATTGAGATAAGAGGCCAGGTCAGCCTCCCCAAACTGATGCCGTCTAGATGTGTTGGACTACAACTCCCATAATCTCCCAGAGTTGGACAAGGATTATGGGAGCTGCAATCCAACCATATTTGGAGGGCAGCATGCTGTGGAAGACTGGGCTTGAGAACTTTATGTCCCCCACAGCTTGAAAATTCTATCTTATACCTTAGAAAAAATGAAGGTCTGTTATTAATATCAGCAGCAGCATTATTGCCATCGTCATCCTCATCTGGAAGCAGCATTTTCATCTCGTGGATCCTTAATACGTTTCCCCAAACCAACCCTGTGGCTCAGTTTGAACACAAAAAGACAGGAGAGCGAGTCTCTTGCTGTTGCAGTAAAACCATTTTCCTAATATGTCTCTCCCGGCCCCCCCTTTGACAAGGATACAAAATGAAACAAACCATCGGATAAGAAGTAGCATTTGTATAAATCAATAACTCTCAATTCCTCTCTTCATTAAGGTGAACCCATTCAGCAAGCCAATCCACCTCATTCTCTGAAAAAGGATGTAGAAAACATGGGGAAAGGTAAAGACGGAAAGATTATATATAGATAATAGATATGGATCTGTTATTGTAATGTAGCCCTTTGTTTTAGTAGAATGCAAAGACAATCGAGGGTAATATATATATTTTATTCCCCACCATATTTTAAGCTTGACAAGTAACATATGAATAATATATAGACCTTTTGTGCGGCTGTAATTGAGATTAATGCATACGTATCAATCAATACATGACACTGTACTATAATACTTTAAAATAATATATTGCATTGATTTATATTCATGGATTTCTGCACAAAATCTATCCGAGGCCTGTGCAAGACATGTCACTGGCACCCTTAAGCTGCCAAAAACTATTTCACCTTTGTAATAATGAATCACACAAACAAGCATTCTTGCCATTTGTTTCTGCTCATGATTAAAATGGCTTTTCCCCCCCACCCCCTTTTGGTCTAGAAGAACTTCAGAAGGTCTTGTTTGAACAAATTGACTTGCGGAGACGGCTAGAACAAGAGTTCCAAGTTCTAAAAGGAACGGCTTCTTTCCCAGTATTCAGTAAGAGAAAATATTGCTGTTGTTAATTTTTCTTGTTCTAAATCAGGGGTGTAGAATCTCGAGCCTCTGAGCCAAATCCAGTCTACGGCTGCCCCCTTGCCCCACTGCCAGCGTTCGATCATTTGGTGAGCCCCGACCCCCTGTTAAAGATTCCAAGTCCTCCTATGGCTTAGCCATTTGCAGGGAAAACATTCAGCTCTGAGATTGTGGATCCACCGCATTTGTTTTGGGCCTTAGCCCTTCGCCTTCAGCCCCGCCACCCTTGAATATGGCCCCCGAGAGCTCCTCCCAAGTGGAACTTGGCCCCCAGGTTGAAAGAGGTTGCACATCCCTGATGATTATTGTGATCTTTACCTGTGATCTGATTATGAGAATCATGTTCAGGAGCTTTCTTGGTTCACATGGGCCTGAGGTGACACCAACGTGCTAATACAACATTGCAAAGTATCCACATGCACACTACAACCTTGCCAGAAGTCATCTGTGGCTTTTATGTTGCTGGCTCCACATGCTCATTTTATCCCTTTGTTCCATGGGTTTCCTTTATTCAGCATGTTTGCACACTGCCTTTAAGGAGAAACCCCCTTGAAGGAGCTTCCAATACGTAGCATAATAAAAACAAATCACACTAACGAGGGGTTAATTTTACTATTGTTTTTGTTGTTACACCACCATAGGATATTCTGCTATTGAGATATTCTGCCTCAACAGCCACGGAATCATGAGCTTACCTGCATAGCAAACATTTCCTTGGAGGAGGAAAAATCTCCATTTATTTCAGTATCCAAGCATTTTGTCTGATCCTCCTGAATTTTAAAGCAGCCCTGCACTCAGCACTTAAAAATCCAAATGAAACCTAACAAGCCCACATAAATTGCTTGGTAATGAATGACATCGGTTTCCAAACGCCGCTGTATGTTCATTACCTGCCAGGTAATGTCAATATGGCGGCTTGGAATTTTGCCACCCGCAGTTCCCCGAGTACCCTTTCGCACCACAGCAAAATTTAAACTGTACCTCCCTCCTGTGTAAATAAAGCCCACGACAAAACCACACAAAATAACAATTCAAGGGAGGATGGATCGTCACGCACAGCTGACCAAGGAAGTGGTGGCAGAGGCACGCGCCAGCTTGAAGAATGTGTGGTCTTGAGGTACCACAAGGCAGTGGTCAATTTGGCTCCTGCATTAAAGTAGGAAACTTATACCAGACTATAAACAATCGCACAGAAGGGGGCGGGGAGCACCTTGACGCCTGATTGTTTGTTTGTTGGTTGGTTTTTGTAGCCTGGTCCAATATGCATGTGCTTAGAAACAAGTCCCAAATAAAGGGGCACAGGGTTACAGTCAGGTGTAGGTAGAGTTATGTGTTTATTTACAGCTCCAAGGTATGTATATTTATGCAACAGCAGGGGCGTCAAAGGCAGGCATAGCTGTGTGTTGACAGGAACAGTCCTGGAGGCGCTTCCTTTTCCTCAGCATTGCAGGAGGACATTCACCAGTCTCCCAGTCTGGCCCAGACACTGGTGGCAGCAGAGGGTAAAGGCAGATAGTCAAGGAAGGGGGTGAGGGGTCCTACCCACCCCTAAACTTTCTCTGCACCTCTAACAATTTATTTATGGAGGTTGTAAGAGACCAACAAGAAGGGTTTTGCTTTTTCTCCCTTAAAGGTACAGATGCTTTTATTTTGAGATATCTTCAGACATTCTTAATGGGAGATGCAATTGAACCTTATACCTGAGATAAAGGAATATTCTGAATTATATGAACAGTTGTACATCTTCTTTTAAGAAGAGTCGTATTATTCAAACCTATACAGGCAGTGATGGATTGAAAATTTGATTCTGTTACATTTGAGCGAAGAATCCTTGTCTGTCTGTCTGTTTTTTGCATTCAAATTTACTAGTGCATCTTCCTTTTGGGAAAGATGCTGTCCTCTAAAAACTGAACCAATTGGGCAGCTCAGCCAGACCAGTAATGTTTCCTTTCTATTTCTTACTGAAATTATACTAAAATTACCTGGATATCTTAAACTTGTGCAACACAAGTACCAAAACAGTATTGAAGCAGATGGACTGCTGAAGAGAAATTCAAAAGAGCTCCAGCTCTTAGATGGCACAAAACTAAAATAAATGAATAAAGAAATGCTGCTGTTTTCAACATTTCTAAAGCAGCCATCGAAGAACTGACCATGAAGTCCCATCAAAACATTTTTGCAAACTCTGCTGGGTTCCAGGAAAGCGGAGACTAATAAACAGAAAGGAGAGCTTAAGGGGTGGGCAGAAGTTTATCCAATGGGGTGGGAGAGCTAATTACATTTTAGCAGACTGAAACAAATAGTTTGAGAGAGTAAAAGACTGGACAGAAAAGAACAGGATTAATGCTAACAGAAACAAGTGCAAACTTCTTCACTGAGGAAAAAGAAATAAAAGGCACACATATAAAAATCACATTTTAGACCTATGCACTTAATTCTTTTTCCTCCTCGATACCTGGCTTGGTAATTGTGCATGTAAAAAGGATCTGTAGGCAATCACAAACAGCATGTGAGTCAGCAAAGTGATGTGGCTGCGAAAAAACCAAATGAGATTTTAGGCTGCATCAATAGAAGCATCACTTCAAAACTCTACTATTCTATGCTTCTATGAAAACGACAAGAAGTGGTTGTTCTCGTTGACTCTGCACAGGTCAGACTTCACTTCACATACTCTATTGTGGACAGCTCAGCTTAAGAAGGGTTCCGGGAAATTGAGAAATGTTCCAGAGAAGGGCAACAAAGCATCAGGACTGAAAGCAATGTCTTAAGAGGAAAGATGGAAGGAAATGGGTATTTGGGGCTTTGAGAAGATGGAGGCAAGATACCATAGCACCTGTTGAGTACCTAAAGGGCTGCCTCACAGAAGACTGCTGCCCAGTAGGGCACAAAATAATAGGTTTAAGATACAGGAAGGCAGAATTTGGTGAAACATCAGGTAAAACTTCTTCATGGTTGGAACAGATGGACAATGTAGCCAACACCTGGGGAGGTGGTGGGCTTCCCATCACTGGAGGTCTTCCAGCTGAGATTGGGAAGCCATCCTGCAGGTATGATTTAAATTGGAATCTCAGGATGAACAGAGTTCATATCTGAACTCAGTGGCCAGAATAGCTCCTTCCTGCTCTATAATTCTATGATAAGAATATTTCTGCTGTAGCTTATTCTGGTTTTAATACCAGTGAATTATTCTTGAGAGTTTACCTTTTTTCCCAATTGCAGCAAGAACCCTACCTAATGTAAAAGTACATGAATTGGAGCACAGCTGCAAAAATAAGTCTTAAGTAACAGCAATTTGCAGTTTTAGCTTTAAAAAAAAGCTGGAGTGGCATGGTGCTTGGAGTGCTAGAGTGCTTTTCTACACATACTTACCTGGGAGTAACACTCACTGCTATTGGTACAAAATTTGGCCCCCAGGTTGGTCTCTGGGAGATCATGTCTCACCAATATTAAAATCTCTTCACTGGCTGACAATATATTTCCAGACATAGTATTTCCTGTTGTGGTTTGAATCCAAAATACCTTCAGGAACACCTTTGTTCATAAATTCCACCTTACTCACTAAGGTCCTCTGGGGATAATCTGAAGTTTGCCAATGCAGCTTTAATATCTACAGAGGACTTTTCTCATAGTATGGCCTACTGCAAAAAAAAATTCTACTTTGAAGAGGAAGGTAAAGACATATCTCTTCTCAGATTAGTTCCCAGATTAGTTTTATCCTTGTTTTTAGTCTAAATTTGAATCATTGTTGGTTTTAATCTCTTGTAAATTTCCCAAGGCCTAAGAGAATAGGGTGGTGTTTTTTTAAAAAAAAAATCTAAATACATACATCCCGCATCTTCATGGGGCTTACATCTCAGGGACAAGGACAAAGCCAAGGATAAATGATTCTAGAACTGCAGCCTGAATTGTGTACAGGTTTGTGGTCAGAAAAAAAATCCCTTTTTCGAGCATCCCTCTGTAAAAGAAACTTACCCTCTGTTGTTGTGTGCTTACAACTTCCAGGATTCCTGACCACCAGCTATGCTGGCTCAGGCTGCTGGAGGGTGAAGTCCACAACTCCGGAGAGCACCAGCTTGGAGAAGGCTGGGTGCAGTGTGGGTGAAGGCTGGTGCCATATTTGAAGTGCAGCTGAAGCACCTTTGCCGCCTTGCCCGTAGGTCCGTATTCCTGGGCATGTCCTACAGGGATGTGCGCACCACCTCTGCCTGTGCAGGGCACATGCGGGCCAGCCCCCATAACATCTCCAAAGCCCCTGCCGTGCCTACTCCCTGCCAGGCAGTTGGGCACATAGCAGGGGCGTGTAATATAAAGTAAGTAGCCTACCTACCTATAAACACACGTGCATATATATATTAAACAGGTCATCAGAAAGTGTGGGTTGCAGTGTCATCAGAACACTGACGACGCTCAGCTTCTAGCTTTCTTTTTCATCTGACGCAGGTGTCAGATGTTTTGACAGTGGATGCAGTGGATGTTTTGAATCAGCCTCGATAATGGATGGGAAGAGGGCAATAAATTGAGAATTAATCCGGACAAGATGGAGATATCGTTGGTTGGGGGGTCATCTGTTCAGATGGGTGACACCTTGCCTGTCCTGGACAGGGTCCCACTCCCCCTAAAGACAGGCATGGTAGCTTGGGGGAGCTTCTGGACCCTGAGTTATCCCTGGAATTCCAGGTGGATTAGGTGACCTGGAGCACCTTCTATCAGCTGCAGCTGATATACCAGCTATGGCCCTATCTGGACAGGCAGAGCCTGGCAACAATTATTCACGCACTGGTAACTTTTACCTGGATTACTGCAATGTGCTTTACTTGGGGCTTCCCTTGAAGAGAGTTTGGAAACTTCAGTTGGTCCAGAATAGGGCGACTAGACTGCTAACAAAGGACTGGCAGATATGACCATATTAAGCCAATCTTCTACCACCTGGCCAACTTAACCAATGTACCACGTCTGCCTTCAACCTATGATCTATAAGGCCCCAAGCACACAGCTCAATACACACAAAGCCAACACCTTGAAAAACTAGCACCATGAGGTCCTGCGAAAATGCAGAAGACAAGACGCCCAACTCTGCCTTCTACCTGCAGATCCCTGCATGAGATCCAAGGTGTGAGCAATGAAAGAATCCCATCCTGCTCAGAAAAGTGGCTCTAGCAGTGTGCCTGTGTGCAGTTTGTAGCTGTGCAGCCTAAAATCACTCTCTCTCATATGCTGGCACATTACCAGGCATGGCATGTGCTTGCTTTGCCACCACATCACATCTGAGCTTGGACACCAAAGGTAACAGAGTATGCCAATCAGTGGCAGTTGCTTCTGAGCACATCTGCATAAAACGTACTGCAAAAGGGCTTTCTTCTCCTACAAGCTGATTCACTAGGGCAGCTTAAATATTTTGCTTTGTGTCACATCAACTCATGATTATTTTATGCTTGGGTGTATCGTATGATCGGTGGCATAAGCCTTGCTGTTTTGAATAATAAATGTAAAATTCCTACAGAATGATGGGGTTTTAAATTAAATTTAAATCTGAGAGCCAGTGTGGCTTAGTGGTTAGAGTGCTGGACTGAGGACCCAGGAGATCCAGGTGCTATTCCCCACTCAGCCATAAAGCTCACTCAGTGACTTTGTGCCAGTTACGGACTCTCAGCATAACCTACCTCAAAGGATGTTGTTGTGAGGCTGAACTGGAGAGGAAAAGAGCCTTGTAAACCACTCTGGGCTCCTTGGAAGAAGATGGGGTCTAAATGTAATATAAAAATTTCTATTTGGGTGCTTTTATTTTATGCAGGTTTTGGTGGGGAGATGGGAGAGAGATGTTAATGCATCTTTTCTTTCTTTCTCCTACAGATAATTTTCAAGATCAAATGAAGCGGGAATTGGCCTACAGAGAAGAGATGGTTCAACAGTTACAAATTGTAAGAGATTTCTCCTGTACTCACCAAATGTTAAGATAAACTTCTGAATAAACATATTAAAAATCTTAAATCAGTTGGTTCAGAGGATGGGCTGGTGGATCCACCCCATGACTATTTGCAGAGGGCTTAACATTTGAACCTGGGAACTTCTGCTTGCAAAGCACCCCTCCTTATTACCCTGGTTGTGTGTTTATATACTGCAGGCTGGGGGTGGTGGATGTTATAGTCCCGACATCTGGAGGTTTTGCCAAGGCTGCTATAGAATAATATCAAATTCATTTCTCTGAATAAAGATCCTTAATGCAGCTGATACACACGAAGCATAAATAGGGCAGTAGCCATAGGGTTGAGGGAATCCAAAGTTTTGCAGATTATTATTAGTAGTAGTAGTAGCAATCTGGGGAGAGGGACCTAAGAGGAACCTCAAGCTATGCCAGTGAAGATTGAGTGTGCTCAACAGCCACAAAATGCTGGCCAATTCTTGGGGTGCGAATGGATGTAATGGAATGTCTTGCAAGAGGGTCTGGCTGGCTGGGCCCTGAACGATAGCCATTTTTCTTGCAAAGTTTTGCTGCTGTCTGGCCTTGTTTGCTCTGCTATGGCGCACTGGCTTCTTCCAGGCTTCGACAGTCTGTGAAAATGCCATGGACTTGCTGTTCTTCAGCATCTCATCCCCTGTGAGGGTTCTGGGGCTCAGAACTTCGTACATATATATTTTGGAATCACTGCTGGGCTTCAGGGAGTCAGAGCAAGCAGAGTGGTCAAGGACATAAGCAAAGCAGCTAACTTCTGACCCGTCTTCTGCACCGGCATCCTTAACAGAAGCTTTTCGGGCAGACACAAACTAGGAAATGTTTTTCATGCTGTGAAAAACTTCATGCACTGATTTCTGTAGGATGTTGCTCAACACACAGGAAGGGGTTTGGTGCGTCTACCCTGCACCCACCAGTCAGGCAGCAAGCACAAATATAGGTTAAAACAAAATCTGAGGCGCACCTTGACTGGGTCACACGACATGATAACCTGCACTCGAGAGCTGAGTGTGGGTTGTTGTGGAAGTCTGGGTTATCGTGTTGTCAGAACCGGTCCTTAAATCAGGATCTGCATCACGACAACAAGGTTCTGCCTTTGAGGAAATGAGTTTGCTATTAGTCTAAAGCTGCCTTGCCCAAACCAGATGTCTTGGATGGCAGCTCCCATCATCCCCAGTGAATAAGCACTCAGCCAGCTTTGCGTACGGTGGGAGGGAGAAGACTTGGGTTACAAAGAGGTAATATTAACAAGCTGTCTTGTCATTCTTTATGTCCTGTGCCTTGGATGGATCATTAAGAGCCAGAATGTTCTTTCTGGAATTGCTCAGTCGCCCCCTTCTGCCTCTGTGTAATTACTACACCTTTTCCAGCAGCCCTGCAGGGAAAGCAGTTTAAAGCTTGCAATTAAAATAACGCTAGATCAATAGGTTTCATTTTTCAGCTTTTGTCCACTGTGGACCTGTGAAGATTCTTTTTATGATTTCCTGAGTGCTTGGCTTCCTTGCCTTTCCCAATAACGGGGAAAATGGCAATGCAGCTCTCCCTGGTGCTGAGCATCCCTTGCCACAAGGAATTATCTCCTTGAGCAAAGCGAGGAGCAGGAGACGGGCTACAGGAAGCAGGTGTGGGAAATACTTGTTGCAGGAGACGCTGTGAGGTCCCCCTGCATAGCCAGCAGACTGTGTTTGTGGGAGCTCCTCCTAGAATGCTCAAGGTTGCAATCCTGAGATTTCCTGAGCAATAAATCTCACCCGACACTGTGGGTCCAACATCAGAGCAAACATGTTGAAAATCACATGGCGCATTCCTATTCTTTTTTGGTGCTGAAAGAGGTAATGAAAATAGGTCATCTGTAGGAGGGAAAGACTCATAGCACACATGCTGCAAATGATCAGCTTTCCTCCAGCCCTGGGCATGGCTGTGGCATCTGCAGTCGTATATTACAGCCAGAGTTCACACGGAGAAATCGTCAGGAGTTTTTGATCAGCATCGGCCACCAGCACCCTTCAGACCTAGCTGCATTCCTCATTTTACCTGTGGGGGAATGGATTTTCCCAGCAACAAGGTCTGGGTTGAGACACCATGAGAGCCCACATTCAAGAGCAGAGTATGGGTTGTTGTTGAATCATGGGTTATTGCTGAAGTATGGACTATTGCATTGTCTGAATCCAGTTATGCTAACAAACCATGGCTGGTTAACCACAGACAATGAGCAACACAACAATGAACCACAGGGTCTCTTCATGGGCAGTTTTGGGTTAATCAACCATGGTTTGTAAGTGTGTTTGGGTTCAGACAGCATGGCTACCTATGTTTCAACAGTAACACCTAGTTCAATGACAGCCCAGACTCAACACTTGACTGTGGGTTATCATTTTGTTTCGATCTGGTCATTATGTTATTCAGAGCTATATTTGTCGTAAAGACAAGTGTTTTGGGTGGTTTGCTGTGCATGGGCAGAAAAAGAGAGAGGAGCCATTTTGGCAATGGGGAATGTGTGTCACTGGTTCCTATGCTGGTCTTTTGAGGATTGCCTTATTCAGCAATTTGTCAGTGCAAATTGCTACGGCCGCCATTCCTGAGTTGCCAAGGCTCACTAGCGGCCGTAGCACCCAGATTTTTTCGGGAAATTTATCCTCTTGACTGAAGTGATATACCTTGACTCCAGGATCAACACACAGCCTGCCATCCCATATTGAACACTTGCTGGTCTATTTTATTGATAACCCACTGGAGAAATAGCACAGTTCTTTCTAGTCCACACTTATCCATGGGAACATATGAAGCCACCTGTTACTGAACCAGAGCTTGGGTCCAAGAGTGCCTGAGCTCCAATAACATGATAACCAACACCCAGGAGTTGAGTATGGCTAGAGCATCACTTGGGTGTGTTTCAGGGTGGGTTGTTGTTGAACCACAAGTTGTTCTTGAAGCATGGGTCATGTGCTTTCTGAACCAAGTCAAGATAACCACACCAGCCATGGTGAACAACCCAGCAACAAACCATGGCTTCTTTTCATGGGTTGATCATGGTTAAATAACCATGGCATGTTAGTGCAGCTGGGTCATACCCATACTGGGTTCAGTAACCCATATATCAGAAGTAAGCTATGGCTCAGCTACAGCTTATGCTCAATGCTTGACTAGCAGCGGCTCTCCAGGTTTCAAGCAGTAGTTCTTCATGCCCTACCTGGAGTTGCCAAGGATCAAACCTGGCTTCTCCTGCATGCAAAGCGCATGCTCTGTCTCTGAGCCATGGTCCCTCCACACAAGTCCTTGGCTTTAAGTTCAGTCATATGTAATACTGCGCTCAGCATCCATTTTTTGAAAGCCAAGATGAGTCCCTTGGGCTGTGACCCAGGTTGGGGCTGCAATGACTGGAAGGGGAGTTTAATCAGTGTGAGGAGGTGTCATCTGCTGTGGGAGGCAAGTTCCTCATACTGCTGATGGGAGCCTTCCTCCTAGATGGTGGCTTCAGGGAGCAATTTCCATTGGGACTGTAACACCTCTTCCTAGGCTCCTCCTAGGTCCTCATCCAGCTGGGGCCCCTGGCCCTTGCTATTGGCTGTGCTAAATCCATGGTCAATGGTGGCACAATGTCAGTGAAGTGATGTGTCTACTCTGGATTACAATCTGAACATTTATGGAGCTATCTGTGGTTCTGAACCCTCACCCCACCCCACCCCCAAGCCAGCTTCAGCACCATGGTTGGCTCCTCCGAGGTTCAGCTTGAAGCCTTGAGGAGATACATCACCCCACAGACATGGAGATGGTGTGGCATATTTAATGCAACACGAGGCTCAATCCGTGGCACGTAATGTGCTCCTCTCTATATGTGTGGTCCAGAGCCTTTGCCCCTTCCTAAGAGAATGGAGCATGGCCTGAACCAATTCATCTTGTCCTGACTTTTTCTTGCTCCATATTATTCTTGATGACTGGCTATATTCTGAGAATGGGGGCACCCACTCATCTTCCTGAAGCTTGGCTCCAGAGCACAACTGCTTTGTGTCCGATCTTCTGTCCTAAGATATCAGGATCCAGCTTTGACATTGCATTGGGCTGTTTCTAGCAGCAATGGAATCTGATGACGTATTTCGGACTTTTTTGAGCCTAGACATAAGTTTATTTACTTAGGTTGGCAGTGGCTCTGTGGAGTTACAGGCAGAAAAAGGCCTTTGCCAGTACCTACTACTTGGTATCTTTTTAAGTGGAGACGTCTAGGTTCAACCTGAGACCACCTGTGTGCAAAGCATGTGATCCACAATTGAAATTCCAGTTTTTGCAAAGCATCTGCCCCTACATGTTTGAAAAGAAGAGGATGCCCCTACCCCTACTGAATGTCAGTGGGGTGGGGTGTCCACTCCAGGCTTCAAGCTGAACCATGGTTTGGGAATGAAGTTCAGCACCAGGACTAGCTCCAACACTTTGAACTTGGGTGGCTGAAATGTTATACGCTTCTAGTAAGTGACTGATTACACAAGAAAACAACTCTTAGAAACATTATTTTGGGATGGAGACACCTGGATTCTCATCAAACCCAGTGGGACTTAGCTCTCACGGGGATTCCCAGTTAGGAAGACACCTCGTTTCAGCCTCAGCTCTACACTGGTAATACAGGGACTATAGCTGGGTGGGCACTTTAAGGTATTGTAGGTCTTTTTCTGTCTTAGAAGGCATAGGATGCACCTTAAGAAAATGTTTGGCCTGTCCTTTCTTTACATGCCCATCTTTAATAGTACGTCTTCATCTATCCTTGCTCTATCCTTGCAGATTCCCTATGCAGCAAGCTTGATCAGGAAAGAAAAACTCGGCACACATCTCAGCAAAAGCTAAAAGGTGAGCTATCTGAAACGGAGGACAGACTATGCCGTCCTTGAAGCCTGTGGCTTCTACCGCTGATGTTCATTCATTTTATGAACTTGAATGAGACCTCTACAAAAGATCGCTACAGCCTTGCTGGATTTTAAGCCACGGGAAGCCAAATAAACCATCAGGAGCTCTTAGAAGCGTGAGTCCAAATCATGGCAGTGGTCCTGCAAGGGGACACATGGAAGTTCAAAACTAATTTGTGATTTAGCGCAGGCCAAGCTATTTAATGGGCCCCAGTTCTTTGTGCTGCTGCTACGAGCTTTGCTCCACACCAGCAGGGGAGAAGGGTGAGTGAAAGAGCGGATGGAGGAACCAGCTGGGAGGCAAAATGGCCCAAGCAGCTTTCCACAACTTTGGCACCAGGGCTTTTCTGAGGAGCAGCATCTGTTGTGGCAAAGTGTAATAAAACTGTGGATGCGTTAGGTCAGCGGTACTGAACTGTTTCATCCAAAGGGCTGAATTCCATTTTGGAGGGAGTATTTCAATCATAGGAAGGGCCAAAGGATAAAAGGTGTTACTGCTAACATCTAAACCTCAGAACATGGATTTTGTCTTTTTAGAAGATGGGAACATGCACAAAAACTCGTAAAACATCCAAAACAGGTACTTGAGGAGAGGAGGAGGGACGAGTGGGGTGGGACCATGGTCGTTTGAGAGGACTTGGAGCACCGGCTTTGGCCCTGGGCTCCCCAGCTTTTGATCATAGCTTCAGGCCCTGAATTTGCATTCTCGACCAGCCCCTGCTACAACATTTATTTATGTATTTATTATTTAATAAATTAAAGTATTATTAATTAAGAAGTTACTAATAGATAAATAAATAATACATTGAGTCCAGTGTTCTGCACAATTATGAGCGGACTTCAAAATGTTTCTGCAATTTTATATTTTATATATTTTTTGCTGATGGCATTGAAAAGTTGGTACAATGCTGGGAAAAATGCATTGCAAAGGAAGGTGATGTAATGTAATTTGAAAATTGATGTAATTTGTTTATGAAATTCTTAATAAATAGAGTTTTTAAAAGTGCAGAAACTTTTTGAAGACCCCTCATATAATATTATGTGTCTGGGGTATGTTTAAATGACCTTTAGGGATCCCTTGAAGAACAGTTTCACACGGGCAGCATAACAGGTTACTTGGTGAATCTGTCTAAGCTGGACTAAGTGGTAATGGCGTCAGTAATTATATTTCTATACTGTATGATAGCCAAAGCTCTCTCGGCAATTCGCAACAGCAGATAGAAAACAATAAAATGCAATACAGCATACAAAATAATAATAAAAACATCATAAAAATGCAGTGCAGAATTTAAAAGCCAAATGATTAAAAGCTACAATAGGTTAGTAGCAAAGACCCCTTAAAGTTTGATTATGTCACATCATTAAGGTACCTATTAACGCATTAAAAGACAACATAAAGATGAAGAAAAAGCCAGACGCTTGGTCTGCTCCTGCAGGGCCCTTCTGCTCTTCTGTTCTGTGCCTCCTTACAACAGAGATGGGAAGCCTTCAGTCCATGGGCATCACCTGTCCTGAAGAGGTTTTCCACCTGATCCCTGCAGGATGCGCCGAGAGACAGGAATCCCTGCTGGGACATGCCCTGCGGACACCCCGCAGTGCTCTCCCTCCACTGCTCTGGGACATGGCTTGGCCTGCTGCTCACCCTCGCCATTGGGATGACAAGTGCTGCACACAGCCAGCAACCCAGCTGGCCCTTGAAAGAGTCCTTTCTCCAAGCACTGGCCAAGTCCAGGGAGATTCGTGCAAGATGAATGTATGATCCAGTGCTATTATTCACACTGATAACCAAAGGAAGCCATTGTGTTCCGGTGCAGTAGCTTCTCAGGACAGGATGCCAGGCGGGGTAACAAAGGGATGGCTGTCCTCTCTGTGAGGTCAGAAGTGTCTCTCTGGACACTGTTTGGGAATGGAATATTGATGGACCAGAATATGTGCAGCAGCCATGAGCCCAAAGTCCCAGAGGAAGAAACAAAACAGCATCATGCTTTGGGATGCAGCGAGAATGAACGGTGGATACATTTCTCATGCTGCGTTTGTTGTTGCTGACATGCCTTCCCTGTGGACAATGGGGATTAAAGAGAAGGAGGAGAAGGAGGAGAAGGAACAGCAGCAGCAGCCTGCAGTGCTAATCAAAGATCAGTCTTTCCTTAAATGCCAAACTAAGTCAATCAAGCAGAGAAACACACAGATCTTTGCTAGAAGCTGTTTCTGAGTTTTCCTGCATTCCAGCCAAAAAGAAAATGTTACTCGGAAGGTCAACTTGGCAATGTTTTCTGCCCGCAAATGAGGACAGATGCGATTCTAGATTTAAATAGATGGCTGGCAAGACCAGCCCTGCCATTAGACAGAGTGAGGAAGCTACTTCTGATGGAGGCAAGGAGTGGTGGTGACGTGCTGGGAGACAGCTGTGTGTCTAGGAACAAGCACAAATAAGATCCACAACAACAACAAAAAGCAAGAGCAGCCAGAAGCAGGGGCGTAACTTTGGAAGTCACCAGGTCAGACCAAGCCTAGCCCAAGATATCTCTGGTGCAATCGCTCTGATATCAAAGTTTCTCAGACTAAGGAATCAGTGCCCAAGCCGCAGTTCTTATAGGCCTAGCTTGGCCCACCCCCAGTTATCTGTCCCACCTGCACTCATGAGCTGCCATTATCCAGGTGGCACAGCAGAGCAGGCAAGACCAGGCCTGACAGCTTCTCGTCTGAGAGCTGGAACTAAACTGAGCAGGAATGGGGAGAGATTCTCATGCAAGTTAAATTTGCGTGCAAGCTTCATTTATAGATACCAGAGTTAAAGATGCTAGATAAACTGACAGCTGAGATGCTGCATGCTGAAATATTGCCAACTTTTGCATTTATGTGCCATTTTCATTTTGGCTTTAGCATTCGTTTTGGTCCAGCTTTGCAACCCAGCCCATATTTCCAGGCTCAGCCTGCTTTGGACAGCCTTTGGCTGTGTGGTTATTCAGAACTGATTTGCAAAATGGAGTCACTTCTGCCATGCTGCATGTTGCAGAGGCCACAAATTTCATTTTCTTGCTCTGCGAATGATGGCAGGACCCCATTCCCTCCATCTGAAAGCAAGCCATGTTGATTTTCCCATAAGTAAACTCCTCTGCAGTCAAGTGAGATCTACTTGTGAATAAGGTCATTGAAGATCATGTGATTTTGCATGCATCTCAGTTAGTTGTTTGAGGCATAAGGTCAAAGAAAAGAATTGGGAAGGCTACAAAGACACTGCAAACTCTCTTTCCAAAGGACAGGGGAGGGGAGGGGAAAATAGCACTGCATTTGCAAGTCAGAGAAAGAAAATAAGTCTGATGGGACATGGTGAGGGAGGCAGAAAAGCAAATGAAAGTTCTTCAAGTTTCTTCCATTTTGCCAAAACACTGGCAGGACACACCTTCTTCGCCACCAGCCTGTTGGAGCTGTAAAGCAGTCCTGCGAATTTAGTACTTACTGATAAATACACTCACATACAACAAGGAGAAAACTGCAACATATAAAACAGTTGTGATATAACTGGAGCAATCTGAAGCAATCAGGGATAAAAAGGCACGAATAGCACCAAGAAGATGAGTTGTGGTGAGCATCATGTGACATGCCAGCGACTCCAACAAGGCAACACTTATAAAAATGCCTAGTCTAGAGTGCCCCTTGGAATCTCCTTAGCTGGCAGCGACTGAACCTGGGAACTTCTATTGTAGTAACACACCAGAACCAAATGAATGTGAAATGTGAAAGTACACAGTTTGTTCTGTTAAAATTGGCCTCTGTAAATCAATCCATTAAAGCTACAGTTTATTAAACTACCAGTCAAATATATATGTTTATTTGAATGAACAGATATACATTTTTAATGCTCTGTTATGTTGCAGCTTTGTATTCCAAGAATAGAGACTACCATCCCAGTGTGTTGACTGACTTATTGAATTGTGGCTGCAGCATTTTCAGTTAAAATTTATTTAATTAAGAGAATTGACATAATTAGATTGGCTGCTTACTCCAACTAATAGGATCATAGTTCTCTAATGTTTCCTTTTCTTTCTCCTTATACCAGGAGCACAAGATCCTCCTGTAAGATACCACCCATCACTCTGAATTCAGACTTACCTAAAGAATGACAGTGGAAGGGCTTTGGGTAGTAAAAAAAACAACAAAAACAAAACATAAGGAAGAAACAAAAGAAGGATCAGGTTCCGTTGAACCTAAAGACAAGTGACCTCAAAGCTTCACGGACAACCATGTAAATTAGAATGTAGCAGCCATTTGTTAATTAATTAAAAAGTGGAACAATTCAAGAATGCCTGTCTTGGATCTTTTTGGTGGTACCAAAGTTTGGTTTGGCGTTTTTAGAAGGATTCCTGAACTTGATAGAAACTGTGAAAAGGCGTTGACTGGGTTGTGTGGATAACCCCATGCAAAGAACTCCTCAGTATTTCCCAGGACAAAGCCAGAAAAGCATTTGAGAATCCAGCTGTTTCCATTTTGAAGAGTAATTCTTTTGTGGAAAGGAATGAGATTTGGAAAAATATGAGTGGGTGTTACATCAAGAAGCGTTGGTGGAAGAGCATTAGCCATATCCAGTGCTTTCTAAAAGCAGACTGGAGAAACTCCAAGGACCCCGATGTCCCCTTTCCATAACTCCCCTTCCCAGACTCTGTCCATTCTCTCCTGGTATTTTGCCTGCTGTATGAATGAAGATTGTACTCTTCTGGAAATATTTTACAGTTTATTAATGAGTGTAATTAAAAATATAACCACTGAGATTAAAAGCAAAGGTATTTAACGCTGTTGTAGTTTCTTTAACATTCATGTGGATAAAAAAGTCTATAATAAAAACAGAAAACTATATGATGCAATAGTTTATGCTTTCCTGCAATTGTTCAATGCATTTGCTTACTCCCTTTTATTCTGGCAAGTGTCAAGGCTGGTGAAAAC